CATGGTGTTATGTGCAGAAAGTCTACGGCTTATGCCATAAGTCACTGTTCAGCCACCCATGGAATAAGCAGGCTTAAGTCGAGTGGAACAGGGGATGAAAAATGAGAGATTGGAGAATAGAGATTTAGTTTTTAGTTCCTCTTTGAATCCCATTTATCCATTTGTGTTAATCTAACTCTTGTCTCCAATTTGTCCCCTTTTTCTCTCCAGCTAATGGGGTTTCATCTGTGGACAGCGTGTTCATCCTCCAGACCTCTGCTGAGGAAACTGCAAACACTTCTTATGATGCTATCGTAGTTGAGCAGTGGACAGTTGTTGACGTGAGGTTTTTCAGGCTTTTAAAGCTCTAGATAAAATGTGCTCTTTTGAGCAACCATTTTGGCCTTAAGCTTGTGCCATTACCTACCTGCTTGCATTTTGCATGCATATATGTATGACTGCATTCTTTATATGTGAGCCATTAGCACTCTTTCCTCTGTCCAGGGTGTTATGGTGAAGACAGACTACATCCCACTGCTTCAGTCTTTAGCTCCGTATGGATGGAGACTGATGTGCGTGCTACCCACACCCATTGTCAAGACAAACAGGTACCCAAGAAAAAACACACAACTGTCCTACCATGCACCCAGATCCACTGAGTCAGTACGTGCTCTGAATCGTATCACCTAAACTCAGCAAGGACTACGCTTTATAGACTGATTCTTTCTCCTAAGATGTTGCCTGCCTCATTGTTTTTAGGATTAGGACTGACAGCGTGGCTTAGATATGCAGGACAGATGGTCCAAGATCTGACAAATCTTGATCATATGCTCATCACAACATGAAACCGCTTTTGAAATCAGCCAGGGCTCGCGAGCAGTAACGCTGTCATTGAACTGCTGTTGTCTTGTAACCTGTCACTTTTACAAACTGCAGCATGCAGAAACTGGATTTCAGTAAATACAGTGGCGTGCACGCTTCTCGCACTACAGCGTAGCGGGTTAACAGTAGTAAAAGTGCAGCTCTCTGTCTTTGTGCAGTGACGGGAGTTTGTCGACGAAGCAAATTCTTTTTCTTCAGAGACCCGTTTTGCAGCGCAAGAGAAAAGACTTCAAGGTTTGTCTCCCTTTCTTCTTCTTCAATCTTCGCAACAAACCTGTCACTCTTCTTCTGTTGTGCCTTTAAGGCACGTGACTTTATGTCACAGAAGGTGCCATTAAAAAGTCATGTTTCTAAATATGGGATGTACAGCGAATATATAAATCCACTCTGGAAAAGTCTAATAATAGGCAAATAGTTGGCCTAAAACTGTACAGGAAGAAGGCATCAATAAAAGAGGCTTTGTTGTAGTTTGTCAGGTGTCTGGAGAGATAGAAAGAAGAAGACATGACACAAAGCACAAAACTGTCTCAAACGCATGTATTTGATTTCAGATGCTGAACCTCAGGGGTCGCAGCAAGGCAAAGAAAAGTGCTACTGGAGAATTACTAGAAGAGAGAGAAACCAGGTCCCCTTTGATAGAGACAGAGATGGACAGGTTAAGAAGAAACTCAAAAGAGGAGGAGGAGGAGGAGGAGGAGGAGGCGGGAGGAAGAGGGAAGAGCAGGGACAGCGGAAAGCGCAAAAGAGCAGTCCTGCAGCAAGGTGGGGATAAAGGGGAAGAGGATGCACCACATCAAAAGGACTTCTTGTTCCTGCCGAAGAGCAGGGCTTCTCTTGAAGACCAGGAAGAGGAAACTGACATTGACAAGATCCCACTGCCCAAGCAGGAGAAGTCAGTAAGATGGACAGATTTCTATCAGGAAGCCAACGCAGGGCCCAAAGAGGCGGCGAGGGTGGAAGAGCGGATCAGACAACAGCTCTTTTCTGGTGTTTGTTGACATATTCGGCACAAAGCGGGCAAAGGGCACTAAAAGCTGGTTAGTCTATAAAAAAGCTTTTCAACTTTTTGTTGACTTGCATTTTTTTAGTTCTTTGTGAACAAGCCCAGAAATAACCACTGTATTCATATTGCATTCTGTTGCTAACACTTCTATCTGCTCTGTTTAGGGCATTAACACAATGCCTTTTGAGGTCGTAGCTCCTGTAAATGGGAACAGTGTTGTGCAGTCTTCTGCTTCGGGTTGGTGCTGCTATGTGTCTTTAAATGAAATGAGACTGTACAACCTAGAGTTAGCCTCCAGTCCAAGCCTTAAGTATTATTCTTTCACACTGTTGTATTTTACTACATTCTTGTAATAGGACTGTGAGTTTTGATTTCAATGGGCTCACTGTATTTTTATATGTATGAAAAAAAGTATAATTTAAGAGGAAAAACAAGTGCGTAGTACTGCATTACAGCCTGAATCGATCCGTTTGTGTTCGCTTATGCGACGGCGGAAGAGTAACAAGGATGCAGCTCAGTGATGTTGATGGTATTTAAATCATTTGATACGTTGTTTTGATTCCAGTTTGTGAGCGCTTAAATGTGTGTTTTTGCTCACGTATCTCGGTCACGATTGTTAATAATCTACCCTATTTTAAAGGATTTGTTTAGAATGAATAATAATAGCACATATATAATTATCAGATGGCTTAAATTCTCACAGGTGCAGGAAAAAGTTAGTTTTTTTTCATATTTCTGTAACAACATGATCTAATATGTCATCAAATTTGTCTAGTGTGAAAAGTAGAAAATATTATGTGACACTCTCTATTGAGGAAAGTGACCATTTACTGGTATGACTGGGCCACTGGTAAGCCATTATGGCCTAGATGCCACAAAAAAAGCTTCAAACGATAAGTCTACCAACACTAGGTTTCACATATCAGACGAGGTTCTTATCCTTCAATGGGGTGCTTTCAAAAAGACAATTTATTTTAGTCTCATTGAGCTACAAATCTCACTTGTGCATGTGATCTTTAGTAAATTGCACCAGTGTTCTTGGAGAGCAGTGCTTTTCGCCTTACACTCCTCTGCAGCTCACCGTTATTGTTCAGTGTTCTCCTGATGATAGACTTACAAACATTATCCAAGCAGTTAGCCTGGGTTTCTTTGGGGTTTGTACTCCTTTCTCTTTGTCAGCCACTCCTGGGGAGGGCAACACTAGTGGGTGGGTTTGCATCCTTTTTCAGGGTGGTAAGCGTAAACAATTGTTATTCTGAAATCCTTAGAAATTCCTTCCTTCCTTTGTACGTACGGCGACAAAGGGTAATTATTCACTTCCCTAAATGTGAGTTATGAAGAATAGACTTTGATAGTTCTATAAATAAAAACAGAGAGCACACACACAGTCAAGTTTTAGCTGATTAAAACTGGAAATTCTTAGGTTCAGATTTCACCTACCTTTGCCACACACAGACATACAATCATGGATCATTTTCCTCAATAACTAAATGAAGTTAATAAGTGAGCATCTTTTTTTTAAATTTAATCAGTAGTTAGGACTTTTGTTGAAATCCGGTAACAGTTTGGATCTAATTTGTGCAGAAATATAGAAAAAACTAAGGGTTTATAAACTTTTATCCTGCAACATTATCAGTATGAATCTCAGATAAACAGCAAGGGTCGGGATTTGAAGTGCACTGAAGTCTTGAATTTTGTTTTTATTATTGTAATAAGGTGTTGGTTGCAATTTGTCAGAGGAAAAGATAACAAAGCCTGTGTTAAACAAATTAACTGTCTACAGGGCTAGAAACTACTAGAGGCTGTTGATTAATTAACACTTTTTTTGTAATTTGGGTAAACTTGACCTTAGAAAATGTGTAATTTAAAAATCAGATATTTACGACTCATTTCCTAGACCACCTGTGTTGTGTATAAGTAGTGTAACATGTAGGTCTTCATATAAAAAAAAACAAAAAAAGAGTCAATAAAGTCTTTGCAGGCGGACTTGACTCAATTTTCTTTATTTCCTTTAAAATCATAAACAGCTGTCCTCATATGAGGAAGAAATGCACAAACAACTCAAAATTGAGTCTCAACGGCACAACCCCCCACTGAGAGATGACAACAGGAAGCTTGCAACCATCTCTGAGGGATGTTCAGTGATCCGAGCCAATTGCAGACCACCTGGAGGTTCCATTACATGGCACCATGGGATATTTACTCTACCCTGTGATGGGAAACCGTTTATGGGTATGTGAATGCCTGTGGCTGAAGAAGAGGCTGTATAGGGGATGGGCGCTGCGCATGCATGTGGTAACAGCGTAAGTGAGTAAAGCGGGGGGGGGGGGATACTGGCCAATGTGTGGGAGCCTGTGAAGTTTTAAATCTAAAAATATGATCAGTGGTGTAAAGCTGAGGAGTAATATGTGAAAAACAAATGCTTTGATGCAACTCTAAAACCTGCGGCTCTTTAAATAAAAAGTGTCAGTACACTGAATATAAACACCATAATACTTCTAAGTTACATTTTATCAAATAGGTGAGGTACTGCGTTAAAAGAGAGTCATTAAAATGCTAATGTACAGTGTAAAATAAAACTACACAATGCTAATGTTTCAAATATCCCTCCATTTCCTTTAAATAACTTAAGCACCCAATAAGTCCATCTGCTATCACTTCCAAATCTCTCTGGTTACACTTTACCTAGCACTCGTTTCGTCGGTGCAGAAACTGTGAAAAAAAGTCGTTATTTTACAAACTGTTTTGTATTGGAGTATTTTTCAGTTAGCAACATATCTCCTCACGCTCATACAGTCCAACTTTGTAATCTAATTTTAAATTTTACAGATCAATCTTTTCAACAACACCAAAAGCTTATTTCCCAAAGGAAGAGTTCTGTTTCACAATTAAAACCCTTCAAACATGCTGATTTTTCAAGCGGTCTTCATTTTTGTTATTTCTTTAGTCTCCCCGCTACATTGGTTCTTGGTCCCCTTGTTAACACAGTTTTTCGCTGAAAACCTGATTTGACATTGCAGCAGAAGTGTCTGCAAATGTGAACAGATCTGAAGATGCACACATGTACAGGACACTGGAATTTCACTCATCTTGCTGGTTTATACTATAGGAAATATAAATAATCTCTATTGTCTTCGTGTGTCAGCTGCTAGCTGAGGCGTGGGCAGTCCCAGCGGTCTATCGCAAATCAAGCACGGGTTGCTGTGGCAGGGATCAGAGGATGAGTTTCCTCATCTACACAAACATACTGAAATCCAGATCACTGGGACATTTCACTTGCTTTCCATTCTCCCAGATGTACACCTTCCCCACTGATGACAACAAAAGGCAGGAATTGGTTTCTGGGAGCTGTAGGAGGGCCCCTACCACCACTTCTCGAAGAAGATCCTATCTTTGGGGAGGCTGAGGTCCATGAGGGTTTTTGAAATTGATTCAATCATCGGCGGGGGTCCACACAAGTAACACAGAGTTTTTTGTGGGTCCACGTGTTTCCGCAACACCTCCTCTGTGAGTCTCCCATCTGATGAGACACAAGGGAAGCAAATCAATTAATTAAGACGCGGTGCTGCGGCACCTATCCCATCTCAGTCGCCTACATGGAGACTTAGCCTATGATGACACAGATAAATCAACCAAGACAGGCTGTGGTTGAATGTGACAGTTACTCAATCATTTCATCCAAACAAAGAAAAGCGAAAGTGCAGTATTTACGGTTGACAAACGGCAGGAGTTGCAGGTCGACGTCTGTGCTCTGCTGCGTGACATGGAAGTCACAGGAGAACTTGTCAGGAAACTCTTGGCACACCTCAATGATAGAATTCTGGGAACACAGAAGGTAGGATGTTGTACATTTATAAAAGTTTATTAAAATAATTAAAAAAAACAAAACAAAACCTTCTCATAGATTTTACACACATGGAAATTTTCTAAAGCATACCTTGAACAGCAGCTCTTGGGTGTTCTTGGCACTGTAACAGAGGTGGGCGGAGCTTATGTTGTAATCCCGGCCACCTGAAGCTCGATTGAGACGCAGCAGATCTGCTGTGTGCAGCATAATTGAATACAAGGGATTGATCCCTACACCTCCAGCCACCAGCAGCAAATCCACAGAGGGTTCAGATGGCGATGGGTCAAAGAAGAATTCCCCGCCGACACGCATGGCCACTCTGGAGCCCACTGTACACTGAGAGGAAGAGGGAGAGACGGAGAAGTGGAAGGAGTTTGAAACAAACTGCAAAGCCAGCTAACTCGCATCCATCCGTGATAAGCAGTGAAATAAACATTTTCAGAGACAACAAACTGCATCTAAAACCAGCCTCAACAAGTGTAAAAAGCCAATTTTAGATCATACGCACTACAAATCGATGTTGCTGCTGTACGAGTGCAGCCGATATTACAAGTTACAAAAGGCCTTTTGAAGTCGAGGAGAGCACTAAATATGCCTTTATCTGCTTTAGCACACATGACCACTCGCCCACATGATAATGCATGCAGTCGTAATCTGCTGTGATGGTCCCTACACTATCCCTGTAACACAATATCAAACAAAAGGATCATAAAGTGATCTCAGAGCTGATAGATGTAAGTCTCAGTACCCTCAAACACACATCGCTCGTTCCTATTTACACACAGCATAGTAGCTCAAAGCTATTTTTTTGAGCCCATCATCAAACAAAGAAGCTGCAAACAAACATGTAGACTACAGAAAGGGAGAGAGAGCTGGAAGAAAACGCTGTTAATATTCATACAACTACTGGCACCAGTGGAGTTTAAAAATGATGCGTTTGTCTCTCTCACACACACACACACACACACACACACACACACAGAGAGTGTTGTGATATATTTGCTCTAGTATTTGATTTCATATATTAAAAGGGAAAAAAGCTATCCATACCTATCTGGTCCTGTTTTAAAAAAATAATTGTCACCCTTGTCATTTATTCCTGCGGTCTACCATTTATATTTTATTCCAACAGAGTTGGTGCAGATCACCGACAATTTTGTTATACATGTACACAATGTTCCCTCTAAGCTGCGCACGTGCGCAATTGCGCACTGCTGGCACGGTCTCTGCGCACAGTAAATCTGTGTTGCGCACAAAAGAAAAAAATCTAACCTGCATTGAAATTAAAATTAATACTTTAACAATTCTGTTTTGCAGTGTTAGTCAGTAAGTAACTGGCTGCTCCAGTATGGGATTAGAACGATGCCACCATATCCCATAGTCCAGCCAATGATGCGATTCACATTCGTATATACGCAGTTAATCAACGTTGTTGACAGGCTATGACAGCGTCCTTATGTGTTTTAGCTAGCAAAGCGGCGTGGCTGATGTGGAGTGAAGCCACGTTAATGACACCGTGTACAACCATTGGAGATGTGAGCAGGACAGACGGAACAATTGACGGAAAAAGTGTGGACTTTATACCAGTTTTTAAATTGTGTTGATAGGCCACGTAAAACCAGACCACAGACTCATAATACAAGTCAAAGCTTTTTTTAAAAAGAAAGAAAGTTGTGTTTTCAAAATTGGAGTTCAAGTTATTTTTACTTCCAATAGTGTTAACATACTACACAGGTCAATGACTAGAATTTTTTAAATTTTCATTGTAAATGGGCTAAAGCAGTTAATTAAAAGTAGTCTAACATAAATGTAAATGCTGTAATTTGATTATTTTAATAAACCATGTAACTTGGATGGATTCGATGCTGGCGTGACCACAGTGCACACGTCTGATGTCGCTCACAGTGGTCCAAGGGACCGCTCGGGGAGTTTGCGTGTTCGCTCAGACACGTGAAAAATTAGAGGGAACATTGCATGTACAATAACAATAAAAGGCTACTCTATTCTATTCTGTTTAAGGGCACCCTCCTGTACATACAGTCAGAGGTGTTTATTTGAGATGACAAAATTATCTCCATCTGCTCTTGATGACATCATGAAGAGCCATGAGTTGGGAGCAAAGAAACTGTTTGACACTGAGCATTTAGAGCAGTCTGAATTTCTGACTCATGTTTGCTGACCTCACTGTGTGACATTTTGAGCCATGTTTAAAATTAAATCCACCATTATAATAAATAAATGACACAAAAGGAAAGATACAAGACAGCTCAATTAATGGTTGTTCGCAGATAATAGGGTGTGTGCAAACACACACACATCAAACAATTCTAAAAATATCAGCTCATTTATCTTGTTCATTCAACACTTGTGTGATTATGTCGTAATGTGGATTGTAATGCTGTAACACCTTATCCATTATTGGTCTTAGCCTCATGATTTTTGAACCTCTGCTGTTTTATAATATTCCTTTCAGTTTTCTTGATTTTCATACAAAACCAGAGATCTGGATACCATAAAGGACGTGATTATTGTACTCACTGTAGTGTGGACCCAGTGGGCTGGTGGGTGTTTGGCATATTTGACAGCCAGTTCAACAACTCCCTCCCTCTGCAGCAGACCTGGGCTGGAGCACATGGAGAAGCCTCCAACCTTCTCCACATCAGGGATAAAGAAATCCACCCTGCAGACACACAACAGCAAAACACAGCATTTAATCATTCAGTTTATTGATTATTTACATTAGCAGATGTTTGAACTTGATCCATAGATTGTTTCACTGATTTTATTGTCACTTAGTTATTATTTTTGGGAACAATATAAAGATGTCTTTGAACAGATAGCCAGCGAAGAGTAATATATTAGACAAACTTTGGGAAATTGATCGGGTCTAGCCATCATAAGGGCCAGGAATGGTGACTGTAGCACAAATTGGTACATGCCTACTTGCTAACAGTTAATAAAACAGCAAAAACAAAAACAGGGCCAAAGTCTAAATGCTTATAGAGTGTTTCCATGTGCATCGACGCAGCAGAAATCCTCTTTTGGAAACCAGGGACAACAAAACAGAACCAGATGTAAAGCTGATCAGTTTATTCAAAGTGAAGCATCTCTTTCTTACACATAGTCACATCTGTCAATCAGTAGGAACAATAGAGTAGTCACAGTGGGAAAAATGCAGTGCTAAACAGTTGGGCTAATGTTCCACCAACACAATGACCTACTGTTACACCAGAGAGACCCTCAGAGGCATCATAAATATGGATCCGCTGTGAAATCATGTACATATGTTCCATCCACCTCCTCCTTCTCTTCCTCCTCTCCCACCTGGAGATGAACAACTAAACAGTCCCTTTTTTCTTAAAAAACATTGCAAGTCGAGAATTTCCATCTATTTACATTCATTATCAGCCGCCGCAGGGCAACTGGCTGCCAGTTTTATTTCTCACCACCGCCCACCAACAGTATGGGCTCATGTACATACTGCATGTGCAAGCTACACTAATTAACAATGGCAACACTGACTGACAGACCAGGACTGAGAACAAAACAGAACCAAAAAAAAAAAAAAAAGCTCTGGCTCATTGAAGAAGTTCCCAACCTGCTATTGGAAGAGTCTCTTGACGTTAGCTTAAACATTTCCTCATGTTATGCATCGGTCAAAAAGCTGCCAGTATACGAGCAACATCAAGGACGATAAACGCTTCCCCATGTGTCTATTTTCAGTCATCCTCATCTGACTCAAGGCTTTAAATGATTAAGAGGCTTCGATCCTTCCTCCGGTTGATGGTATTGACCAATATGAGGACTACAGCTGAAATTTACTGGAAGTTCTGTAAGAAGTGCTTGGAAAAGATGAATCTGACACAACCCTGCCCCCATGTGGGGATTATAGGCACTACATGACAATGACTGATGAAGGAAGACCTAAGTGCTATTACTGTATTGCGTTTCTAATGACACCATGAAGAAAACAGAAAAACTATTAGCTTAAATTTTAGTAGTAAACCAAATATACTTGTAATTACTTTATGAATACATGCTATGTAATTTATTGTCTTTTGCAGCTAGAAATCAAAGAAGATGGGAGTGTATCCACTATTTTAAATTAAGTTATTCCCAAAGTCTTTAGAAAGAGAACAGGCCTTTGTGTGTTAATGGACGCATTTTTCTTTTACAGCACTACAGTTTACAACTGAAAGCCAAATCTCTGCCCACATTACCAGGCTGCACTCTCGAGTCACACCAATAACGATGCAGCTCTGTTGCCTTTTGTTGTCCTTGGTTTTTCTAAATTGACAGACGCTATTACAACCCAGTGTCACTACACAACAATACGGCCATTTTACCTCAGGCATATAGAATGACGGGCCCAAGCACTCGTGGTTGGAGCTAACAATGCCGTTTATACCCAATTACACATAAATTACAGTGTAATAAAACAAAACAGGGACACGCTCTTGTTTGTGTGCCGTGCTGTAGAAAGAAAACATCATGCATTATATGCCACTTAGTGTACTTCCCATATGGCAAACGCCATGGGCATGTCTGAAAAACCACACTACTGCATAAACAGAACGACAAAGCCAGCGGTGTCAGGATATGTATTACAAGTCTGAACAGACGGGTGTACTACGAGGCCAGATTAATAGCTTCGTAAGCCATGTTAAACTCAGAGTTTTCTGTATCAGAAAAATGGGTCTCTATCTGGCTAAATCACTGCAGCAACTTATGCTGAACACATAACCTTTATGTATTTATGTATTCAGCTGGTGATGCAGAAAATGTTTAAATGTTTTTATACTTGTTTCTAATCTGATGACTAATCTCTTTTATATTGTTGGAAATGCAGCTATTAAGGCACAGAAAACACAACAAGAATACCAGCTGAATCAATAAATCTAATTTCTCTTTGAGCCGGTCATAAACCAAAGCGATTCCCAGGTCTCCTTTATTAGACTATGGGACAGTAAACTTTAATCTTAAAATGTATCCAGTTTAATGTTGCAGAGCTTTAAAGTGCAATTTACCTTAAATTAAAATGTTTATTTTTCCGCTCGGTGTGCTAAATGACCAGATTAATGATTTTCTGCAGCATTACACTCCTTTATTTACAATTTACTGGTATTTGTTTATGTTCTTTGTAGATTTCTAAACACCATTTTATCTGTATCATCACCTCTGATTGGAGTAGGACACACTATCAGGGCTCATTTGTGTGGAAGAAGAGTCATATCACAAACAATGAAGCAGAAAGCCTGGCTTAACAAAGAAAGCTTATAGTTACTGTTGTGGTACCTGCCATCTCTAACTGAGGTTTTAGGTTTTGTCAAGACAAATAAAGCAAAGAAAGCCTCAGGGACTCTTATCCCATGCTAACTCTTAAACATTTCCAAGTTGTAGCACAGTGTGTGAATAGAACCATTTTACTCTGAATTATTCAAATGTTAAAAACTGACACTGACCAACACTGAACTTCTGAGATCACTCAGCTGTGATATATACTCTGCAACCTTTTTACATAAGAGATCCCCAGTCTCTCAGTCATTTTAAACCACTTTTAAAAACATATTTGTTCTTGTTTGCCTTCAAGTCTAGTTGAGCAGAGCAGAGTATGCAAACTAGGGGTGGGTTTTGATTATCGATTAAAATCGATTCTGGCTTGGATAACGTGATATTGATTCATTAAAATCCTGAATCGATTTTTTAATATAAATTTATTTTGCCCGAAATGCCAGAATCTCAGGTTAAACCTCACAAAATTTCAACAACCACCAAACAGCTAAAACAGTAAATGAGAGCAGGAACACGGATTCTGCACAAAGACGTAAACACAAAGCGCGGACCCAACGGATCAGAAGCAGTGAGATGTTGCCTTTCTCACCCGACGGCACGGACACGGTCGGGGCTGAAAGCTCGCTGATTCTGATGTTTCGGCGGGTCCGCGCTTTGTGTTTACGTCCTTTTTGTGCTGATTCTAAAGCTGTTAGTTTGATCTCTCTCCAAACAATATTGACTGAACCAGCAGCAAAAGAAGATCCAAACTTTGCTTCACATAAACATCGTCAAGAATTCACTCTGACTTTTGCTGTTTTGCTTCCACCACGATAAAAACCACACTTCATGCACAGCTCTCTGTCTCTCTCTCTCTCTCTCTCTCTCTCACACATTATACTTCAAGAACAGTTTCCCGTCTAAAAATCTCTTTTCTTCATTATTCGCTTGCGCACAAGTCTACCGTTGTTTACAGCGCTGTCGGCCGCTGTTTTTTTCCTCATTTCTGCTGTTCAGTAAGCTACTGAACAAATTTAAACTTTTTAAAATTATGCAAAATTGCAAAACGCTTGGCTGTGTCTCTAATAAAACATCTGTAACTTTGCTCTGCTTCACTTCAGCAGCATCAGGTAATATTCATATGTTGATTAATGGTTTTCTTTCGTTTTTGATTGACTGCACAATATATTTATAAAATCCCAGGCCAGGAAAATCACCTTCATGTTTTTCTGTGTTTTATCCACAGCTACTTTGACACAAAGGCATCTGCTGTGATGCTCACACCTTTGGTAAAGTCTCGCAAGTGTCAGCTTTCTTTTTATAGGTATACGAATATGGAAATGTACTGATGCATGATCTGAATTATAATATTTCTGACTGTCTGAGGCAAAATTTCCCCGATTCAAATTGAATCGAATCGATTCGGGGCCTTGTGAATTGCAATCGAATCCATTCTAGAAATCAGTGACCATACCCAGCCCTAATGCAAACACTCTTATCTACTCATTTTATTTGATTTTCAGTGTATAGTGAATGGTGATTTAGTGACTGGAATATATATATATAGCATATAGGAATGAACTCTGACTTGACTTTTACTATGAATGTGCCAACCTGTGTTAATAGGATAGTAGTAATTACTTGGGTAGGAGATGTTCAGTCGGACAAACTTTGTCATGCCACCATTTCTAAATCACCCCAAGCATTGTGTATTTAAAAAAAAAGTTTTAATACTGGCATGCCATTAAATATGACAGAATGATCCGTATTGGTAATACTGTTCAAATACAGTCTATAACTGTCTATAAGTTGTGTTTGATGTGCTCCTAGAGTGTATCCCACTCTGGGATCTTCTACTACTGACTGAAGCTGTCATATGAGTATTCTCACAGACAGTTTCAGAAAACTGCAGTCGACCCTGGTACTGTGTGTAGTTTGGAAAATGCTGATTTCAGTTGTACCTTCTCTTATTTAAAACTTAATGAGAGTCTACTCACCACTGGCCTGCTTTGAAGGTGAAGTTTGGATGCACGGCTATTCTCAGTCTTTTTACCGTCTCTGACTCGTTTATAATTCCACATACTTGTGCTGGATACAGAGTCTAAGTCAAAAACCCAGTTAGAGACACACAGAGAAGAGTTCAGTGGTGGGTTAATAATAGTGTGGCACAGTTAACAGACATCAAGATCAGATTCCTCAGCTACACACTGTAGACTTACATTTTGTCTGTAGTTGTTCGAGGTCCTCTCTAGGTGGTCCATTTGCCTTTTGGAGGACATATTTCTTCTACTGAAAAGGAAACGGTCTGGTCACTTGTCTCGTATGAAAAATACTGTGTCGTGCAGTGAAGAGCAAGAAAGCAGCCACATGTGACACACACACAAGAAAAAAAAAACAAAAAAAAAAAAAAAAAAAAAAAAGGCAGCAAGTGGAGTTTGCCCTCACTGTCAACAGGGAACCATCGAGTTAAGGATCCAGTTCATCAACATTAAAAATACAAAAAACCCCAAAACAAAAACACAGTTTCTCACTAACTCTTCGCAGCTCATTCACAGCACCTCGCACACTGTGGTGTGCACAGGGCACCAAGTGCTGGAGGGGGCTCCAAAACAGGCTAATGATCATTGATCATAACAATCATAAGAACTTATTTAAATTCAAGAAAAAGTACATTAGGCACAGTCAGACAATTAGAAGCAATATAAATACTACAATGAATTATGGTGCCCCCTACTTCATCTCCCAGCGGTTAGCAACAGACCCGCTGCCTGCTACCATGATGTGCACACAGACTACTTAATGAGAGTCACCAGTAATGAATACAGCCTGGGTTTAACAAAACAGCAGCTGAAGTAGTGCTTGTTGCTAACTGCTGACTTTCTTGTGAGTTTATTAAAAGCATGCAGATTTATAGGGTTACTTAAAGCAGCAGGATTATTAGTGTGTATTACTACACCCTGCTAATACAGAATAAGACATAGTTTTTTCATTATAAAATGATATAAGTTTTTGCTTCAATTTTATTTGCAGGTTACAGTATTTGGACTACTCCACGTGTTTACATGGACGCATTACTGATACATTTGTATATCATTTTTTTTGTGGTGGGTAAACAAACTGCATATTTTCTTCTTCTATTTGATTTTTCATTAGTTAATGAATGATTGTTTTATCAGGGTTACACCCAGAAACATTTCACAAATGCTGAGAAAAGCCACAGACTGAAACATGTAACCAGAGAGCTGCATGCATTTACACATTTAGCACAACAGCAGGATCTTTAGCAATTATTCCCATAATATAATCCAAGCAGAGACTCGAGATCAGTCTGGACCTTATGCACGTCTCACTCTGTACACTCTGTGTTATGCACCTGTAACACAGAAAATCACAGCAACCATTCTCCTGCCATCACAGCTGTGGGAACATTTTATATTTAATGTCACTAAAGCTCTTTTGTGTTTACTAGGGGCCAAAATATAATTCTTAATGAGTTTTTTCAGTTTATTCAAAAACCAAGATTTAAGGAACGGTCATTATTGGGCACATGGATATTTCTCAAAGTGTCACTGAAAAGTTCCAGGAATATGACCATTAAATATATAAATCACATCCTAGAAGTTCCATTATGCACCCTTGCTTGTGCACTTTGGCTCTAAAAAGGATGCGGGATCTCCACCAGTATGTCAAAACTGTGATCCTTACACCTGACGTCTACTTTGGCAAAGTGGATAACCAAGTTGACAATATCAGCCTCGAAATTAATTCCTGTTCCCATTTCCCACATGGACATAAATGAAAACTATTCGTTTGTAGCTAGAGACCCAACTCACCGCCTCCAATGATCCTACACATTGAAGTCAGGACAGTTGGTACCAAATAATGATGATGTTTGCTCTCTGCAAATGTTTAAGAGCCACAGTGAAATCACAGTGCAATGATCATAATGGGACGCAACAGAAATATACAGGAAGCAATATAAGAATGAATTTCAAGGCTGATGTAAGGATTACCCCTTATAGGAAGTGATATAAAAATAACAGCAATGCTGGAGGTAGTCGCCAAGATCTTGAAGAAGAGATGAAGACAAAAATGAGAACAAAAGCCATAATCTGACATTCTTTCTCGTTTCATTTAGGCCTGTGGATAGTTTAAATCAGACTATATGGGCTCTGATTTTCTGTTGCTCGTAATACAAGAACAGGGGAGATGGGGGTCCACTCAAAAACATACACTTCTTTCGTTGTCAGAATCTACTTTGCCCCCTCAGGAAACTCACCTCACGACAGAGCTGGGGCCCAGCAGCCTACAGCAGAGCAGACCGGCTGCAGGACACGACAGACTGAAGGTTCGAGCAGTGGCGGACAGTAAACAGGAGACCCTCATCGCGACCTGGGTTCATGTCAGATTAGAGCAGAAAACACCTGGATTTAGCTTTCAAAGCCGGAGTCTGTACCTTATGCTTAGCATCACATATGAGTATTTTATACACCCACTTTTGTTTCTTTTCCGATCAGTATACACCTCCATGTATTAAAATCAGACTATTTTTAATGGAGTTTGGTGTGACCGCCTCCATCATGAGGTTAGCCGGCTAGTTGAAGCTAGCTACCGAGTAAATGCCGGTTACATTTCATTACTTGACACAAACTAATCATATTTTTCTTCTTACCGGCATAAGAGAGGACTTTACTTCTGTCAAACGCTCTTCATAATTGTCTCGTGTACCTTCGGAATAACCTTGGTGGTCTTATGATGACATGACGCGACAGGTGACTTCTTCGTCGTCGTTTTACTGCGGCTGGCGACTTCTTCTGTTCTAGTAATGCCCCCTGTTGGCAAATAGCATCCAGCGCCTGACCAGAACCCACATTCTTAGTTCAAAAGCAATTGTACTCCCTCAGAAAAAAACACAAACACAACGTAAATCCATCAGATGTCACTTGTGCTACGGTCTCATTATTTTAATAGTGACTTATTCACCAAAGTTTAATGTTTGCGGGAGATTTTTGCCTTCTCTGTTATAGGTGCCATAGTGTATTAGACAGTCTCACAGTGTATATAGCCCATTTTAATGGATAGACTCCTTTAAATACTTTAATTCAAAAATTAATAAAATGCCATATTAATGAGGGCAATCTCCACTTTAGTTTTTTGTCACATGGCTGCTCTGTTGAATTTTACTTATTAATGCATGGATAACAGGCAATATAGAAATAAATTTGGCTCCATCTTGTGGCCATAAACAGTGAACATTGCAACGCCAGAGGGTGAAATTGTGGTAGTGTCAAGGCTGGCTGTGGAGCAGGCAAGAATTGGACCTACTGTAAATGCAGGACTCAGAAATTAGAAGCACAAACTAAAAAGTGGCTTTATTAACTTAAACTAAGCACAATATAATAAGCTGAAAAAATTAAATCTACAACTCTTCATGGAAGAGGATTACTGCAAGGGAAGACACAACAAGGCAGGAGGATGAGACAAAAAGCAAGGGCAAGGCAAATATATACAAACACAGGATAACAAGAGGATGGGAAACAGGTGGGAACACAGCTGGGGATCACTAACATATTGACGTCGGAGGAAGTAAAACTCGGCACGAGGCTTAGTGGAGACAAACACCAAAAAAAGAAGGAAGGAACAGAATACAAGAAAAGAAAGGCAGACATGACACAAAGACAGAATTGTAAACAAACACAGAGACAAGAGACAGAAACACATTTAGGCAGGAATAACCAGGGATTCCTGTAACACACTGAAACCAATAAATGATACTTAAAGAAAGTATGAAACCAGAACATAAAAGACTAACCCTCAGGCCACAGATAATCAAAAATACCAGGATAAAGAAAACTCAAAACAGGCCCAAAACTTAGAAAGCCTGGGACCAGGACACACAGCTTGCTCCTTCTTTTAAAGTCTCCTTCATGTTTGTTTAATGTTTCTTAATGATTTCACTAATACAGCCACATGCTTTTTGCTTTTTTCACAACTGCTTTCACATTTTTTGATGTGGAGGATAAAGGATTGTATAATACAGTACAAAAGTCTTCAGCCACCCCTCATTTCTTTGTGTCATTTCTTTCCCTCTACTTATTGATGATGATTTGTAACAAATAATTTGATTTGGATCCATCATTCCATAAGACCTGTTGATACTGATTTTCAGTCCAATACTGTGTAATTTGACAGTCTCTTCTTCCCATTTCCCTTCATTAAGAATAGCTTCATGAGATCCACCCTTCCACTGAGGCCATTTTTTTAAAGAGGTTTCAGTGAACAGTAGATGGATCAACTGCAGGGTCAGATGGATCTCTCAGGTCCTGTGTTAGATCTTGGCTGGTTTTATTCCTCTTTCTTATGGACATGACTTTCAGATACTGTTCATCTGCTGTACATAGTTTTTTAGGCCGGCTACTTCTTTTTCTGCCTGAACTTGTCCAGTTTCCTGGCATTTTCTAAAGACACAGTACACAGCATGTGGTGTTATGTCCAGTTTTTAGCTAATAGCTCTTTGGGAATCACTTTGTTGTTGCAAAAACAGAATTTTATGCCTGTCAAACTGTGTTTTCTTTGGCGTTGTTCATAGATTTGACTAAAAAAACTGAAACAAACTCTGTGTTTTTGTTACAGGCTGCTCATAACAAAGTGCCCGAAGTTACATTTTAAAACTGGTTCTTTGCTAAGCTGTAGACATAACACTGATTCATCGCTTGAGTTAGGTGCCTTTTTATGCTTAAATGGTTCAAAGGTCAGTGTTAAGTGGCTTAACAAACACGTTTGTAGTGCAGTAAAAACAAGTGCAAAGTGCAGCCTTTTGTTATTTGCCCTGTTGAAACTCATTTAAACACACTTGACAGTGATATGTATCAAGTTAAAGAAGTTTCTGGCAGTCTGTTTTCCAAAAAAATACTTATTCAGATACATTGTATTTGTATTCAAATTGTTATGAATTTAAACAGTTAGGACATTTTACTATAATTTACATAACAAAGTCGTAATAAAATTAATCAACTGTACTCAAAAATGATCCCGTGTGAACCTGTTCCTGTCAGTCTGAAAACCAATTGTCATTTAAAATCGCTCAATTTGACTCTGAGCGACAGGTCAGAGGTCAACTGTGACACAGTATTTTAAATACCATCCTACGTGAAATCCTATGTTACTTTCTACAGCTTGACACAGACACACCACCCTTGTATGAATCATACGTTGCAAGTTATAAGGCTTTCCATTATAATTTTCCACCAAAAAAATCAGTAAATAAAATGTAAAGACCTTGGCAGATATAAGCCACATTGTAATGGATTCCAACATGACCACACTCCACACAGCAGAGATAATGCTGGTTGGTTCAAGACTTTTGTACAATAATGTAGATCAGTCAGAAATTCAACCGAATGCTGGTTTTGTCATTGGTTAGCAATGCTGCCTGGCACCAAGCAGTTTCCTGGTTCGAAGTTTGCATGTTGTCCCTGCGTGGGTTTCCTGGCTTGCTCCCACAGTCCTGGACACATGTTCAGTTGATTGGCAATTCAAAACTGGCCATGGATGTGAGGTAGATAAAGCCCTGTATGAAAGTGAAAAACATATGACTTGTAGTCTAACGTCTTTGAGTGGTGAGTAAGAGATTAAAGCACTGTATAAATGCAAGTGCATTGCATTACTGCCTGTCCTTCAGTGAATTAATGGCTGCACAATCGGTTATAATAACTGCAGTTTGAAAACATTGTGTGACATTTTATACCTTTACTAACACCTTAGAGAGAATACATTGTGGTCTGTTGATTACACTCTGGTGCTATTTATGAATCTCAGGATTGTTTAGCCATTGCCAGGAGGTATTGTATCATCAGAAAAATAATGGAAAGATCTAAAGATAAAGGCAACTGGAATTAGGCAATTTTAAGATCTGACATGTAGCAGTGTTGTACATTAAGGTCAACCATTTCAAAGCCAGTGCAAAGTTACCATGGGTAGGTGCAGTTCTAGGTTCATGTGCGTGTATCTGCATTCACGAAAAGAAACACATTAAATAGAAAGAAAATTGGCTGAGAACTGTTGGATTCCTTTCTGCATTCTTGGACGTTCTCATAACGTCAGTAATCACAGGTGAAGCTGAGTTTCTCGCTGCTTTACTCATAGTTCCAAAAACATTGACTGAAAACATCCCAGGAATGCAAACTGTTTAATTAAAAAGATACAATGCAAATCCAAACTCCACCCAAAGTAACAAACAACTGTTACTATTTTTGTTGGTCCAGTTCTTAGTGGTATTTCACCTCTATAGTCTTTAGGCTGTGATTCAGAATTTGTCACTGAGGTGGCCTGTGGTTTTAGGGCTCAGAGGGGTTCATGTTGTCTGCAGGCAGACCTCTGTTTACATTATTACTATCCTTAGATACAGTAACCACTCACTTCCTCTGCTGCTTTTTCTTTTTTTTTTTTCTATCTGACTCTACCAGTCTAACTGGCTGCCTTCCTGCTCTCTTTCCCATGGCTAGCACACCTTGGTTCAACCAGTTGTTCAGTACTCAAAAAAGATTTTCAGGTTTATCAAATTTCACTCATACGCATAAGGTGTGATGCAAACGCACCAACGTCATCGCGTATGGAAACACGAGCGCAGACGGGCACACGTAAGTCGAACTGTGTGTGCATGTGAGTCAATGTTTATTTATGGGCTTGTAACCTAATGGTAAACTCATTGTGTCTTAATAATCTGTCATAACCTACTAAAGAGTCATGACATCTATATATAGGTTTAGGACGTTATACTATGTTGCTGACAATATATGACTTCCTGCCAGTGGAAAAAGTAAAAGAGCACTCAAATTCAAGTCCCAAGTGTACACATTTACTAGATTAAATTCCATTTAAAGTCATTTAAAAATGATTTTTTATACCTGACAGAGCACAAATATATGATCATTATTTGTATTTTAAAACATTACCTCCCTAAAGTGACTAAAAGTGTTCATTTCCTCTGCATGGCTGCTGCATACTTGTGACTGTGTGGCTGTGAGAAAAAAGTGTTGATTTATTATGTTTCTAATGGCACACAGTCAAACCACACAGAAACAGATACAAATGGAGGGAACACCTGCAATAAAGGTCATTGTTTCAGTGTGTTGCAACTTCAAATTTTCTACTCACATTCTCCACATGCTTCACTGTTTCAAGGGACAAATGCTCTTCCTCTGTATTTTCACCCTGAATAATCAGTTCAGTGTTCTCGGGATTGGAAGCTAATCTTTATTTTGTAGATCTCCCTCTCAAAATAACTGCATGGGTGCTTTCTTTATCTGGTAGGGCTGAAGTTAAATATCAACTCTCAGCAAGGCTGCTTGCAGCATTAGGGGAGAGGAGAACAGATGAAGCGATATAGGAGAGAAAGCTGGAAGAAAAGACTGGGAGAAGATATAATATAATAGCATAATGTGATGCAGTTCTAAGTTGAAATATGGCACACATGGCAAAAATGGCAAAAAAAACAGCTTCACAAATGTGGGAAATGGCTTCACGAAAGCAAGTGGAATGCCAAAACATGACACTTGAAGGCATCGTGTTTCTGTTTTAAAGGCCAGTTCATTATCAATCAGTTTATTTAAGACAAAAATGTTTACGTGCAAGGTTGCAAAAAAAAATTGTACTGTAAAAAATGGTATTGTTTACTTGGGTGAAAATGCATAAATGATGGTCGGTTAAGGATTCACGGTTACCTCTGTTTGAGCACAGGAACAATAAAGTACAAACACAACCAGCTTTCTGTTCGCACCGGAAAGAGGAAATAACTCTAGAGAGTTTCGGCCCAGATGGGAGAGGAGGAGAGGGAGTCTCCCAGTTATGCAGGACACTGACTGAAACAGAAAGAGAGAGACAAAGAGGAACTGCAAACAGTTTCCCGTTGCCATAGCAACAACTTTCACCTGTGTTTCGGAGGAGGGAGATAGAAAGGATTCCCTGATATTCTTTCTATCTCTGTTTCTGTGTTTCTCAGCTCAGACTGGGTATTCCCTGTTGGCAGCAAGCCACACAGAAACCATTGTGGGATTCCATGGTCAGAGAAACTGCTTTCATAAGCGCAGCAAAGAGGTGATGCAATTTCCCTAATTAGCAAGGGTTAAAAGGCAAATTGGATCTTAGTGTTCATACTGAAAATAAAATAGAAAAATAAAATCATTGAATTTACATTTATGTATCTGCCTACCTATCTGCGTATCAGCCACTTTGGACTTTACCTTTCACCTTTGCTCCAGTTGTTATTCCAGCCTGTGGTACTTCATCTATCACATCTAATGTCTTCTGCTTCTTGGCCAGGACCTCCTTGTCAGTCTTAAATTCAAAGTCCCACAGGACAGGACTGCTGTCCTCATCCCATCGGGACTTGAAAGACCTCACAGATCTTCCCGTATACTATCCCAGGCACTTGAGTGTCCTAGCTTGCATCTTGCATTCTGCTGATATGTGCTGGACGGGGCACCTGTGCACAGTCATGAGTGCAAAAATTGCAGGCCCTAATTGCCTCAGTTAAGGTAAGCGTTCATGACTCCACCATAAGAAAGAGACTGGGCTAAAATGGCCCCAGTTCCAAGACGATTAACCACTGGTGAGCAAAAGGAACACAAAGGTTCATCTCAGTTTTGCTAGAAAACATCTTGATGACTCCCAAGAAAATACCCTGGGAAAATATTCTGACGATACAAGGTTGAACTATTTGGACAGTTTAAGTCCTGTTGCATCTGGCGTAAAAGTAACACAGCATTTCAGAAAAGGAACATCACACCAACATCAAAATGTGGTAGTGTGATCTTCTGGGGCTGTTTTGCTGCCTTAGGACCAGCAAGACTTGATTTTGTAACTGGAACCATGAATTCTGCTGTCTACCAAAACATCCTGAAAGAGAATGTCCAGACATCTGTTTGTGACCTCAAGCTGAAGCGCATTTGGGTTCTGCAGCAGGACAGCGATCCAAAACAAAACGGCGGTTCATGCTCAAAAACCCTCCAATGTTGCTACAACAATTCTGCAAAGAAGAATGGGCCAAAAGTCCTCCACAGTACTGTAAAAGACTCGAAGCGAGCTATTGCAAATGCTTGATTGCAGTTGTTGCTGCTAAGGGTGGTCCAGCCAGTTATTAGGGTTAGGGGACAATCACTTCTTTTTAAAGGGTGATGTAGGTTGGAATTTTTTGCCCCCTTAATAACAAACACTTTCAGTTGGAAACTGCATTTTATGTTTACCTCTTATCTTTTTCTAATATTTAAATTTGTTTGATGATCTGAAACATCATCAAACAGGGTTCAATTATTTTTATATATATATATATATGGCGGCACGGTGGTTAGCACTGTTGCCGCACAGCAAGAAGGTCCTGAGTTCAATTCCTCCATCAGGCCGGGGTCTTTCTGTGTGGAGTTTGCATGTTCTCCCCGTGTTTGCGTGGGTTCTCTCCGGGTACTCCGGCTTCCTCCCACCGTCCAAAGACATGCAGCTTGTGGGGATAGGTTGATTGATTAATCTAAATTGTCACTAGGTATGAATGTGCGAGTGAATGTGAGTGTGAATGGTTGTCTGTCCCTATGTGTTAGCCCTGCGACAGACTGGCGACCTGTCCAGGGTGTACCCTGCCTTTCGCCCTATGACAGCTGGGATAGGCTCCAGCGCCCCCCGCGACCCTGAAAAGGATAAGCGGAAGCGAATGGATGGATGGATGGATATGTATGTATGTATGTGTTAGTGTGTGTGTATGTATGTATACATGTATATAACAGGTGAAGTCAAAGGCTGAGCCTCTAATGAATAATAATAATGAAATAGTAATAAAACTGTAACATTATAACACATTGAGCCTTACTGACAGACTCCAGAGACAAACTACAATGCAGGGACAAGCAAATGTACCCGGAAGGAACACATGAGAGTGCCTCGGTGGATGAAACTGAATGAATCTGGCGGAGAGCCAAACTGTTCCCATTAAATTTGAATTTACAGCAGCACTAGCGCACGTTTAGAGCAGTAAAATGACGTCAATAGACACCTGAAATGTAATGATTTTTAACTCAGGCTATAATTTAAATCCATGCGGTTGAACTGAACGCTACCGAGCAGCAATCCAGCCACGACGGGTATTAATTGCGCTATTAACTCGTTGAATAAACGTTTCACTACCTCATTCTTCTCCTTTGCACGACAGGCCAGAGCCTAAAAACAGGACGTCCAAACACTGAAACGTAATTTGGCTCTCTGGTTTAGGGTTGGGCCGCTTTGACAAAGGAATCTTCTTCTTTTTTTCTTTTTTTTTTTTTTGTTACTGAGGAGGCTGTACGATCCCGTGGGTCGTGTTGCCGTGCAACGACACGCCCCGCCTACCATCCCAATGTATTCACCTGAATCGTGTTCACGTGACAAGCGCAAAGGGTCCAATCCAATCAGGATGGAGGACAGGTGTTTCTTCATCAAAGTTTCGGAGGCGGAAACCTGCTGGTTTAGTGTAAGCCGCTCCTTATTAGTGTGTCACTTCATTTGTTTTCTTTTATCAAGAACTGCTGAGGAGTAGAGCGGAGTTGTTTGATAAGAGCAACATAAAAGAAAGAAAAGGTTTTGTTGCTGGGAAGTTTAAGGAGACAGAGTACTTGGCTCGTGCGTAAGATGGATACGTCTACGAACCTTTGAAGGACTGTTGTCACTGCTGTTCCAGGTGTTGCACCAGTAAAGAAGAGGACACCGAATGCTGTTTATAGATAGCTCGTCACGATTAAAAGCCCGACGCTGACACTTTTATTAGGGTCGTTTTAACTGTCCACGCCACCTCTTGCAACACAGGTAGGATAAGTGTTTCTGAGTCCTTTTTGCGTATTGATCGCCTGTGAATCTCGGTTTGGGTTTGCACTTCTACTCTCAGACTCATTAAACCAGTTTTACAGCGACGCTAAATATGGTTACACTGGTTATTCATAGGATTAGTTGGCAAGACACCTCTCACTCATCTAAAATATATGTAGATAGGCAAACATTTAGGTAAAGTGTAATTTAAGACATTAAAACAGAAATTACACTTGTAGTAATTATGAGAGTAGATATAAGGCTGTAGAACAGCATGAATACTAAACCAACTATATATATATATATATATATATATATATATATATATATATATATATATATATATATATATATATATATATATATATATATATGAGATAAAAGAATGACAAACTGGCCCCTCAAATTGGATTATATTAAAGGACAAATACTGTAAAAGATGATAAAATCTTAAAATCTTAAAAATTATTGATGGGTTGCGTTCCTCTTTACAGGTCACTGCATCCCTTTAGTCAAAGATGACAGAGAGGACCCCATGGTGGAAGGCATTCCTGCCAAAGAAAAAGGCCCCCAAGGATCAAGCCTTTGATGTGAACTTTGACCCTTGGGCAAAATCCTCTCCTGCAGCCTCCAAGGCCTCCCAGCCGGTGTCCAACAACAGCTCCAGCCTGCTCAGCGATGAAACCTTCGACGACTCCCGACTGGACTCGGTCTTCAATGAGCAGACTTGTCGCAGGAACATGAATATATCGCGCTCAGGCCGATTCAAAGAAAAGAAGAAGATCCGTACAACTATTCCAATAGAGCAGAAAGAGAAAGAGAACGTGACGTCTGGGAGAGAGGACGCACGGTGACAGCAAGGAGTAAAAAGCCGGGCGATCAAAGACTGCTTTACAGAGATGCTTGAAGACGGAGGAGAAGAAGAAATCAAGGTCTATGAAGATGTTTCACTCTCATGAAGCATGCCAGGAATTCTGCTGATTTTTCTTTTTTTTCTTCTTTTTTATATGTTGGTGATAATGAAGACGATGAGCATTCAAGTTTTAGCCCAATACTGGAAAAAAGGATGATTTTAGACATTTGTTGATGCACTTTGCCAGAAAGCCAAAAAAACAGTGTCAGCAATATTACACTTAGAAAACAGGAATGCCCTTTCTCCTTTCAGTGCTCCATATGTGTTTCAGGAAGGAACTACTCATAAAATGTTTACATTATTTCTGTAATAAGATTAATAGAAAATAATATCTAATAATATAAACCTAATAATGAAGGATATGTGTAACAATAATTTTACAGTGCTTTTTATAAGGGCTATAAGGGTGTTTATGAAGGTGTAAATGGTTCCTTTATGTGTGTGTGTGTGTGTGAAGAAAACAGAGAGAGAAAAAAATGGTTTGTTAGCAGTGCTTAATCAGATGCACAAAACTTGTCAGCAAAATGCATAAAATACTTCAATGAAGGATTCAAATTGACATATTGCACAAAGCCTTTAGCAAAGCCATCACTGCTGAAATATCCAGGCAGATGAAATGAGGACAAGGAAGTGATGTTAATTTCTTTTTAAGACTTCTCTGCTTTTGGATGGCCTCTGAATAGTTGTACATGAAGGCAAAATATGAGAAATAAATCTGACATCTGCTACAGCTGATTGGTGTGTGTCTGTGTGCTTCACGAATCCCCATTTGTTGATGGATTAACCCACGCAGTGCAAAGTTTGCTTCTTCGTCCCCATTAAAAACAACTTTAACACAGAAAAGCCCATCAACAACAATAACACCAAATAAGGAAATAAATAAGAAAATCTGAAGATGGAGTAAAGCAAAAAACACCCCACCTAAAAACATGTCAGTAAATTTGGCAGCTGTGTTGAGAGTGACAACCTTGTGTGTTCTCATCGCAATGTCTAAAAAAAGCACTCACAAGGAATTACAGCTAATTAAATAAAGCAGGTAGTAGATGTTAAGCCCAGGTGTGAATCACAGGTAGTTAAAAGGAGGAGTATGCCAGTGTCGCGGCATTCTTCTGTCACTGTTTAAGGTGTGTATCTGTGTGTGTGCACAGTGCATGTCAAAGGTTATAATTGATATACCTTTTACAATGACACCATATTTATTGTCGGCTGTCTCATAGCTGCTAAAGTGCAACAGTTAAACGTGTAAGTGTGAAGTTGTGCGTGCACAAATGAATAAGACCGACTTGTAATACCATATCTTCAACACAAGGGGCAATAATGTACCGCCAGTAGACTGTCATACAGCAACAAACTGCAATGAACAGGAGGAAGATATACTTAGAAAAAACAAACTGTAGTTTTGTAGGGGGCAAAGAATTTACTTCAGACGTCTTTACCGCGCAGTCAGAACCCACAGGGTGGGTTCGTGGATACACAATGCTTGTCTCCTTCCACTGGTGTAACTCAATAAGAGGGAAAGTCTTTTGGCTCCTTCAGCACGGACGAAGCCAACGACACTGATCCTGTTTCTCTCTCTCTCTCTCTCTCTCTCTCTCTCTCTCTCTGTGTCGTTGACTGTGGAGCAGTGAGGTGTGGCTTTACTCTGTGCGCCCCCGACGCTGCGCTCCCAAGAGAATAAACCGAAAACAGCCAGGGCTGTTGTGCTGCAGTGTCGTCAGCGTCTCCGCTATAAACTCAAAAATTAAGCAAAATAAAGTTTGTGGAACTTTTTAAGATATCTGCAAGAGCACCACAACCCAGGCGTGTGATACGAAGTGTCCTCATTTGACTAAATATAACCTAGAAACTTTCTCACAAGTGTCCCGCTATGAAGAGGGCACTGCGCTAACGGACCACACTGAAGTTCTCTCTGCAAACAGGTGAAGTTCTGACATTTTCTGAAGGTAGGGCGATTTCTTAACGAGTGCACTTTTGCATGTAACGGTTTAATGTTTTTATTCTCACAGAAGTTTGTAATGAAATGTTTAAAAATGCAGGTCCAAATAGAAATCTTTATAGCAGATGAATTGGATTTATTCGAGCTCCCTGCACAGGCATGGAGCATCAAGTGTACCCACCCCTTTTTTAAAATGTCCTTTCAGATACATTTTGCATTACAAAAATGTATTGAAAGTTTTATGGGCAATAATGAGTGAATAATATAAAAACATAAATAAATAAAACATACATGGACATTACTTAAAACCACTGTGTTGTGCTAATCCTGGCTGTTATTCTTGGGCTGGGTTTGCAAAATCAGCCATTCTTTGTGAAGACGTATCACAAATTGGTTGGGATTTTTGTAACGATTATAAAATATGGAAATAAATTACTAGAAAATAAAAAGTGTGATCCATCTTTTTTTTGGCTGCAGCAGCTGTCATATCAGATCTTCTTTCTGGGGAAGATTAAGCTCATACTTGAGGTACAAAGAAAAGCAACAACTGCTGTGAGAGGTGTACTCACCTCACTTACTTCCCCACCTGTTCTGGAAGACCTCAGCTGACCGGTGTCCAGCTTCCCCCCTTTAGAGAGCTAAACTGGCAGTGTCACTGAGGCTGCTTGACACAGTTATGAAGATAGAAATAGCAACGGAGGACAGCCTGCCACTTGCAAAGAGGGAAAGCATGAACTGCACACAGACAGAATACCAGTAGCGTGATTCAGATCCGTTACTTCCATTACAAAAACATATTCAAGTAAAGGTATTTGCTAGCCATAAAATTACTTAATTAAAAGCACTTATTGTGCACTTATGTTTATTGACAGTGCTTTTAATATCTCTTGTCTTTGGATAACTTAAGCATTTTATGGCACTAAAGCTTAACAGTTCAGGTAATTTCAATATACTTTCTGTGCTGCTTAGTTGTTTAATCCACAATAAAGAACCATATTATGAGGTCATCATATGTTTACATGTTTGAAAACTATTTCCAACAAGTGAAACTATCCTGATGTCGGAAAACAGTTGTGTTTCCAGCTTCTCCTGTCTAATACAACAAGGCTTTAAATGGAATAAGAAGTAAGCAAATGTTCCCAAACCAATCCAAAAATTAATTACGCCATTTGGAGATCAATGGATTGAAAGTGTAGGGGAACTTGTAACTGAATAAAACCATCAAATAAAGTACACAAGTTTAAATTTGGACTGAAATAGTGTACTTGAGTAATTGTGCTTAGTTCTCTTCCCCCAGACAACAAGAGAGATGTGTTCAACAAAAACAGGTTCTGTTGTGTGCTTTATTCAATTGCTAAAGAGGAGCATGTGCAAATTCCACAGCCTGAGGTTTGTGCACAAACCTCTGGCTGTTTTCAGCCCGTCAGCCGAGGAAGACAGCTTATCAAAAATGCATGATGTCAAGATGGTGGGTGGACATGTCAGCGACTGTCACTGTGGACCATTTACTAGCTGTAGAAGCTGAAACATGTGACATGACTCTGTACACAAGCTGTTTCCTGGAACGCTGTTGTAGTGGACATTTAGCGGGGCTTTGATTACTGAACCAGTAGCTCTTAAAAGCTTTCTTTGCACAGTTACACTCAGTACAACCTGAAACATAAAAGAATAGAACAGTGTGTTGGGACACTGTTGTTGTTTCCTCTGGACTTTCCTTAATTTCTTTTCCATGAAGCTCCATACAGTTACTGCAGTAAATGCCTTTGGACACTGACTCGAATAAAGGGTAGGGGTCCATTACTGTTCACACAACACTCTCCATTGTTCTAGCCTGAAGTAATCTGCCATGGGGCAATGTGGGAAAAGGAGGAGATGTGTCAGATTTCTCTGGAGAGGATGGAGCGCTTTGCTGTTTCCTGTTTTGTGCTGTATGGTGGTGAAAGCTCTTCCTGTTCAGGGGAAGAGGGTGACAGGTCATCAAATGCACCCAGTACACAGTAGCTTCTTCTGACGCGGAGCGAATAAAAAACCCTCGAAGCACTGCATACAGGGTTTCCTGCAATAGAGTGCGCTTTGTCTTCTCCAGGTATTTGAGGCCGAGGCATGCCGGTTCCCCCACCTCCCCCTCCGCCTCCACCAGCAGCCCCGCCACCCCCACCACCACCCAGTGCTGCCCTGCCACAGGTATAAGATTCTTCCAGCAACTCTCTTATGCAATTGCAAACACTCATTGTGTTCTTCTTGCTGATCATCGACCATCTGGAGCTCATTTGCATTATTAATTGAGCTAGTATACACACACACACACACACACTGACTTAGACACACACAACCCAGACAGCAGGCTGTCAGTGGCAAAAGAGTGTTACGTTACCCCAGCAGGCTCATAGTGTCCTCTTGTTAAATGAGCTGCTGCAGCCAGCAAACAGGGCAAAGACATGGCTCAGTAGATTCTGGATACAGCAGTAACGTCTGTCTGCATAAACAAAAAAGTGATCCTCTCCACTCTTACTTCTTTTTTGTTCTGTTTTTCTTCAGTGTCCATTAGATCCTCCCAAGGTCCAGTTTAGCGGAGGAGGAGGAGGTGGTGGAAGGAATGCCCTGCTGGCAGACATCCAGAAAGGAACCAAGCTCAAGAAAGTCACGCAGGTCAACGACCGCAGCGCCCCCGTCGTCAATAGTAGGTCCCACAACATGACCATCCTATAGCCTGCACATATACAGACACACTCAGTTTGTTTTCTCTAAATGTTACATCCTTACATCACAGTAGCGCCCACTCAGCCACTCTCGTAGGTGAATGGGTGCTTCATATAGTGTGTGTCTGTAGTTTGAAATACGCCAGTGTGATGTGTTATCGTGAAACACTCGACATATTAAAGTGAAGGACAAAGAAGGGGAGAAGACTGGGGGATGTTTGGTGTCTTTGTGCTATATTTGAACTCACAAGGCCAGTGCACGCTTCAGGAAGGAATGCCCTATAGCTGATTAAGACGCAGGAAGAACAGACCGACGGTACTATATACACTGACACAATAGAAAAGGCAAAAACACTGTGCACTGTCACCACTCAACACACCCTGTGCAATATCACTAAAGACTGTGAAACAGATATGCGTGCGTGCTGTGTGCAGTGTTGGTCAAGTTACTTGAAAAAAGTAATCAGTAACTAATTACTTTATGTGTATAGATGACGACAAGATCATTAGGACCCTCTGAAATTTTTAATTTCCAAGTCCTTTTAAACAGAGCAAGGGATTTTAACATAGCTTTTCTAAAAATTGTAGTTTTATTTTTTGGATGCTTATCTTATTTGACTTTGCACAAAAAATAGTTTTACAAAAAGAAAAACTACCAGGGTCTTCAGTTCAACCCACATATCATCAGTAGATTTCAAGTCAGTCAGTAATGTTGACTTTGGTCTTCTGGAGGTTCTTCCAGGTTTGCTACTGACTGCTTGAGGTTTTCTACAAGATCTTCACATATTCTTATTTCTTCATGATTCCTTCCACCTTGGCGAGATTCCTAGATGCACTGAAGGGTCCCGACAACATAATACTCACACCGCAGTGTTTCACTTTGGGAACCCTGTTCTTTGGGTTGTACGTCTCTCCCTTCTTTCTCCAAACTTAAGCAGAGTAAGCAGAGCTCTGGTTTAATCTCATCTGACTAAAGGACATGTTTCCAGTTTACAAAATCTTTCTCCAGGTTGTACTTGGCCTACTCCAGTCTGGCCTGAAGGTGTTTCTTTTGCAAAAGTGGAGTTTTTCTTGTTCTGTAACCTCAGACTCCATTCCTGTGCAGGGTTCTAGTGAATATCTTCCGTGAGACAGGCTGACAGTTTCTGACTACAGTCATTCATCAGTATCAGATTCTTTGAGATCTTTTGCTTCTTACCTCTGCCAGACTTGTTCTGTTCTGTACTGTGCGTTTTTAATGATACATAGCACTCACTGGACTTCTTGACACTGGGAATGGTGGTGATAACTTTGTATATTCATCTCCTGTTTTGTAAGCATCAGCAATTCTTTCTTAAGTCTAAACTGATTTGTTTTTGATTTTGGCATGATGCTATAATCAAGCGACAGCTCAGCCCCTCACTGAAGCTTCCAATTTATGTAAATTGGAAGCTTCAGTTTTAACTTGATTTTTAAAAGCTTTGAGCATTACAAAGTTAAAGCACATCATTGCACAGCAGTGGTCATTTTCTCAGGGGGCTAATAATATTGGGAGGTTAGGTAAGTGTGGTGGTGTGAGAGTTGCACATGTTTGAGTTTTTGATGTTAGCTTCATTAGGTTTTTTCCAGCACTAAAAACAAGCTCTTGTTGGGACAAAACTCATGAGCTTATAAGATATACAATGTTATGTATGAAGTGAATACATTTATAATGATATTAGACCAAATATTGTGATTGACCACATGATTTATTAAGCTTTCATGCCTTTGCACTGCTGTTATTTCATTACTAACATGTGCATATGGCGTTCCCCAGATTCCAAGGCTAGCACAGGAGATTTATCTGGAAATGCTGGTGCTTCTCAGGCCTCATCGGGTGGCATGGCACCCGTGGGGCCATCATTGAGTGGGCTATTTGCTGGAGGGTTCCCCACTCTCAGGCCTACAGGACAAAGAGACCTAGCAGGCAAAACCAGAGGTTGGTGCAAAATGTCATATTCTTGCTCATAGATATATTTATGATTTGTCAGTAGTCACAATAACATTTTTTCCCTTTTAAATGGCTCCTCTTGGGTGTGTTTGTTCTGTTTAAGTGTCTCGATCGAGCTCATCAGTCTCTCTGAAGCCTCTGTGGAACCCTCCTTCATCGGCCGACTCCAGCAGCTTCGCTGAACCCGACAGGAAAGCGGAGATCCAAACCTCCGTCCACCGCCTACTCGCCCCCTCGGCCTCTGCTCCTCCCTCCCCCTCTCACAGCAGCATGCACCCGCCGCCTTTCCCTCCTTCCACTCCCCTTCCACCTGCCCCTCCCTCTGCTCCTCCCCCACCTCCCCCGCCTCAGGCTTTCCAGGACCGGCCAGGTAACAAGCCTCCCCCTCTCCCCTCCTGCCCTCCACCTCCGCCTCCATCCCAGACTACCAAGCCCATGTGGCTCCCCATCCAGCACTCGCAACACTCATCTGTCTCCCAGCCCTCTCCTCCTCCTGCTCCTCCTCCTCCACCACCACAACCAACTGTCCAGCCTCTGTCAACTATCCCAGGGGACCATTCTTCAGGGTACTTCTACTCTCCGCCTTCATCTGCAGTCTACTCTGAAACTTCAAGGTTCCCTGTTCTTCGGGACAGCCCCCTGGGACCGCCTCCCCCACCTCCGCCTCCCCCTCTGCTACCTTCCATTACTCCAAGCTGCCCGTCTACCCTACCTCCACCACCACCCAAAGTGGCTCCAGTGCCTTCCCCAGCAATGCGCTCTCTGCCTCCCTCATACCCTTGCAACGCTCCCACGCGACGGCCACCAGCTATACCCAGGAGTGCAGGTAGGTGGACAACAGGATGTAAAAATGCTTCTTTAATGCCACTTGTGTTTATAAATATAAACCTGTTGCCTGTTACATGTTTTTTCCATAATTGAAACGGATAAAGTCTGTATGGAAGATAAAAAGTTTAAACCACTGCTTCATGCCTTTGGAAAATCTTTTGAATTCTGTCTTTATGCGAGAAATGATTCAGTCATGTAAATGGAGCTGACTCGATATATTAATGGTGATGATATAAAAAGAAGGAAAATTAAAAGAAAATCTGAAAGAAAACGATTGCGCTGAAGCAATGTTTTAGAGATCAGAAAACAAGTTCAGCTAAGGGCGTGGCCTAAAAAAGTTCCCAATAATAGTTGTAAAAGATGGAAGTAGCTACTGTGACCTCACCGACTGGTTAGCGAAGGGTTGTTGTGAAGCCCCAAGCTTCAAGAGCAGTTTCACCATTGCTATGTGCTTTTTAAAACTGGACATGATGTTTGAGGTGGAGGACCTGACTGAGAGACCAAGGGACAATATCTTATCCTAAATCATACCTAGCCATACTTTACTCTAAATGTGGATTACATAATGGTTAAGGTAATTAACTCATTAGGAAGTGTCTACTGAGATAAATCAGGTAAGTAGTGGCGTCATTTTTTGGAGAGGGTCAAAGTTCAATAGAATCTGGTATCTTTTTGTACCAGAGGAGTCAAGCCCTTTTTGCCATAAGAAAGAAGACAGGTTTAAACCCATCCATGTAGATTAGAATATCTTTATTGCCACTATTACATGCAACAAGTACAGGATAATTAGCCTCAATCTCAACAGTGCAAAGATCACTCACATCATAAAAACGACATAAAACTGTATAAGAGATAAAAGTAAATACAAAAGTCAAAAGCAGCCTTCCTCCATTCTCACAACCCCTTCTTGCACAAAACACGTGTGGCCATTGCAGCATCTAATGCCTGTATAGAACTGGGATAAAAGCTGTTATTCAGTCTGTTTCTGCTTGTTTTACTTGTTCAGTACTGTCTATCTGATGGTAACAGTTCTGACAGGGTGAGATAGACCTATTATAGTATTATTAGCCTTTTTTGAGAACATTTACATGATTGATCCCATACATAGATGCCACAGTGTAGAGTAGAAAGTTGATATTTACTAGCTGAAGAAGCTCTGTTACACAATGTTATACTTTAAGATGTTTTTATCTTGTAAAAAACCAACCTTAAGCATTTATAGGCAGTTAACCAGCATAAAATGAAAATAGGAAAATTGGTGAGACCCGGTTTATCTTTGTGCAGAAAAATGAGTGTATATCACAGCTGGTGTGCTGATTAGGTTCTGAAGTCTATCCTTCCACAGTGTTTTCTCTATTCCTCTCCAGTGTCTACAGGCCAGACTCGAAGCTTCTCAAAAGCATTTTTATTCAGTTAAATTCAGTTTTATTTATATAGCGCCAAATCCCAACAACAGTTCCCTTCAGGCATTTTACATTGTAAGGTAAAGAGCAATACAATAATACAGAGAAAACAGAGACAATCTCAATAATTAGATGAGCCCTTATGAACAACTGGCAACAGTGGGAAGGAAAAACTCACTTTCAAAAGGAAGAAACTTCTGGCAGAACCAGGCTCAGGGAGGGACAGCCATCTGCCGTGAGTAGTTGGGAGTGAGGGGAGGAGGACGTTACAAAGACATGGTGTGGAAGAGAGCCAGAGATTAATGATAACTAATGATTAAATGCAGAGGGGTGTATAAACACATTGTGAGTGGAAAGAAAAACAGGTCTTAGGACTGCTGATCCAGCCCTAAAAGCTTTATCAAAAAGGAAAGTTCTAAGCCTAATCTTAAAAGTAGAGAGGGTGTCTGTCTCCTGAATCCAAACTGAAAGCTGGTTCCACAGACGAAGGGTCTGAAAGCTGAAGGCTCTTCCGCTCCCATTCGACTTTTAAATACCAAACAAACCACAAGTAAGCCCGCAGTCTGAGAGTGAAGTGCTCTGTTGGGGTGATACGGTATTATGAGGTCTTTAAGCCAAGCCAACTTTATTTAAAAAGCGCTTTAAAAACAGTGAGCACTGACCAAAGTCCTGAACGGAACTAAAACAATAAAAACATAAATGCTAAAAATAGAATACAAGTTGAAATAACAGTAACAATATAAAAAGGCAATGAAATCCAAACGAAATTACCATTCTATACTGGGTTTAAAAGCCAAACTGAAAGGGTGAGTCTTCAGACGAGATTTAAGATATGATGGGGCCTGATTATTCGAGACCTTGTATGTGAGGAGAATCATTTTAAATCTGATTCTGGGTGTAGCAGGGGAGCCAGTAAAGAGAAACCAGTATAGGAGAAATATACTCTCACTTTCTTGTTGCTTTCAATACTCTTGTTCAGCTGGAGGCTTTTCAGGGAGTTTTAGGACAGCCTGATAATAATGAATTACAGTAGTCCAGCCTAGAAGTTTTAAATGCATTAACTAGTTTTTCAGCATCACTCTGAGACAGGATATTTTTAATTCTAGAGATATTTCATAAATGGAACTAAGCAGTCCTACGTATTTGTTTAATACGCGCAATGAAGGACATATCCTGGTCAAAAACAAATCCAAGATTCCTCACAGTGTTACTGGAGGCCAAGATAATGCCATTCAGAGTAAGCATCCGGTTCAACATTATATTTCTAAGATTTATTACGGCAAAGTACAATAACCTTAGTTTCTATATTTAGAAGCAGGAAATCAGAGGTCATCCATGCTGAATTAAAATTCCATAAAATGTATATTTTTTTGTTTTTATTTTAAATGTTGTTTTTCTTCTGATGCCCACTTATTAACAGGAGTGGGTCGACTGGCTCCTCCTCCTGCTCCCCCCGCCCGTTCCCCCACCACAGAGTTGTCCACCCGCATTCCTCCTCCTCCACCTCCTCCCATGCCCCCATCCAGTCTCAGGAATGGACATCTTCAGAGCTTAGGTAAGATTTTAAAAGGATTTTTACTGTTCAAATGTATAACTTTTATGTAAACTTTGAAAGTTAGCTTTTGCTGCTCAGCAGAAGGACATTGTTTTTTTTTTTTTAAAAAAGGGTAGAAACTTCTAATCTGCATCTTCTTTACTCCAGCGGATGACTTTGAATCAAAGTTCCAGTTCCACCCTGTAGAAGACTTACCCCCACCCGATGAATTCAAGCCTTTCCCACGGATCTACCCCAGCAAAGAAAACAGTGGTAGCCACAAAGCAAAGTTACTACTCCTCAGCTTTTCTTTTCTCAGCACTGTAGTCTCATCTGCTGAGCTCTGTTTTTCTTCCTCCTTGTTCTTTTACAGTGAACCCCAAACCACCAGGGATCAGGACACACCTCCGATGAGTCATGATCTCAGCACCGTGACACGCAACAAAAAAGGACAAATCTCAGTATTCCTTCTCCTTCTTACGAGTCCTCACAGTTAAACTGACATTACTGCCATGGACTTGCATGGATAGAGGCTTTGTGTGTGTGTGTTGTTGTGTTTGGTGCATTTGTGTGTGTGCGCGTGTGGTTGTGCATTTTCAAAGCATCAAAACAAAGACCCGTCTTATTCTTACTATGTGACCTCTGACCTTTTCAAGTACAGAATGTTTTGTGTGCGTGAGAGGAGAAGCACTCGAACTGCTTGTGCTCATAAGCTCCATTCACTCTACACACAGGCTAGAAGAACAGGGTCTTCCATTAATTATCGCTAACATGACTCTTGACATAGTTTGTAATATGTTAACCATCATCTCTGTGCACTTGTAGTTGTAAAATTTGCTTTCAAGCAGGCAGTTTTTGTGACTACGTTGCTAAAGACAAGCAAACATACCTCAGTCTCAGCTCTTGCCTTGGTGGCGGCAATTGGGTAACTAGGTGTACCATTTTCTTGCCCCTCATGTATTAACCAACACTAACACATGGGAGGACAGTGCCACCTGTTGGTTTGATCTGCCACCAACAAATAAACCAAAGCAACTAAAAAGTTTACACAGATACTTTACTTTAAAAAAAACAACAACAACTAATAAATGTATCTGCCTTAAACAGTGGTCCTTTTTTGAGTTGAGGCTCTTGATCCATTCAAACAATCCCAAAGCTGCACAAACAGGGCTGTAAACATGTGTGTGTTATCTCAAAAACCCCATTAAAACAACAGGTAAAGTTCTCCTGTGGTTTTGAGTTATTCTTCATTGTGTCACAACATTAATTCAGTCTTCCCAAGTTTGCCCAAAATTTATTTACATTTATAAAAAAAAAAGAGCAAAAAACATTAACCTGATATTTCACGACAGTTTTCACACAGATATTTTGACTTGTGAAAATATCTAACAGTGGTCCCAAAAAGGATTTTTCATAAACAAATCACAAAATTAAAAAACAATCTGCAACTAAACTTAACCACACACAGCGTCACGCAACACAGACTTAAAGCTTCTGTAAAACTGAAACAGACAAAAATAACCTCAAAGAGTCTCTGACAAGGATTTCCACCACGAAACACAAACCAGCGCTTCATGGGACTTCACAGTTCATCGTGTTTGTAAGTGAACTCTCTAGAGGATATAAAACCGTCCTTGTTCTCATCCTCTTTGGCAAAGATATCCTCCGCCATGTTCTCGTGTAGAGTGTCGTTGGGAGGGTAGCCGTGACGCTCAAACTCCTTCCTTAGATACTCTTTCACCTGGCAGACATGAAAAGAACAGGATGACTGGGACTTAAGTACAAACATAATAAAATGAATTAGAAATGACACTTTTTCCTCTTTGTACAGAAAGTAAAGTCTAGAGTGACATGGGATATGTAACCGATCCATGTAACTTCATATATGTTTTCAATGGTTATCTTCACCTCATGCTTGGAGAGCTTCCAGTCATCGTTGAGGTCCATTTCCTGAAAGGACTCATGTGACCTAGGTCCATTTCTGATCTGTAGCACCTCGATGATAAAGGTAAGCGTGCTTTCAGGTGGAATCTTACCTGAACACAGAGAACAGGAGGGTAATGGGCAGAGATGTCAGTTCAAACTGAAATTGAATATTGCCAAAACTTCCAGTAAGCATCCAGGAAGTTTTCTTCCGTTGAAGAACACAGATGGTAAAAAGGAATAAAAAGCAAATCTATTGCTGTGAATCTGTTGGCATTAGAAAGGTTAGTTAGAAACAGAAGAGACAGATGTTATGGGTTAGAGTGGTTTGTGCTTACCGGACAAAAAAAAGCACAGTATTGTTCACATGCTCCACGTAGAGAATAAGTGGACTAATGTCACTGACTGAAACCTTCATTCAGAGACATTGAATGAATTCATTCCTAGAAAGCAATTAAAAAGAACAAGAAAGACAAGTATAATAAGATGCGTGCATAATAATGTCACACTGTGAGAATTGGAGACACCAAGAAGACCGTGTCATAAAACATGCAGTGAAACTTCTTAGATATGGATGAAGCTTCTGTACCTTTTCCTTCCTTCCCATAGGCCAGTTCTGGAGGTATGACCAGTTTTCTCTTCTCTCCTGAGCACATGTTTTGCAGGCCTTTATCCCAGCCTTTGATTGCTTCTCTGATGCCCAGAGTGAACCAGATTGGCTGCTTGTCACCGCTGACTCGACTGGTCAACAAACACAGGTGTAGAAAGAGTGAAAAGTTGAGATGTAGAGATGGTCTCTGAGGTGTCATTAAAGGTCAAGGAAATTATGATGCTTTTCTCAGAGTTATAATGATTCCTGCTGATATGAATGCTCCAATCAGACAGTTTTTCTACTGCATGCTCTATGTGATTTCAAAGACTGTGGACCTAGCCAACCGCACTGAGAGAACATTAACAAATCGACAAGCTCCATCTCAGAAGATATCAAGTGAACACTATCTTTCCAGCTGGAACTGTATGCTGCTTTAAGAACAATAAACCTTGATCACCAGTGACCCGAAAGAACTGCTTGATAAAAAAAAAAAGACGCCTTCATGTCTGGAGAAAAGGAACTGAGGAGAGTGCAGCATGAAGGGCATTCTGCAGCCTCCTCCTTCAGTAAACACCCTCATCACCTTCAATGAGTTTGCCCTTCTCCACTTATTCTTCATTAAAACCACATCCACCCCACATCTGAGGAACAACCCCTGCTTGTTTGTCTTCTGGCCTGGTTAGAAGACAGCTGGAGAAACTACACACTACAGCAAGGACGCAGACCCTGATGGCATCAGTGCGAGGTTCTGAAGACCTGTGTTAGCCTTGTGTCTGTGTTCCTGAGTGGTAAAAGTGTTACCACCTGAGTCTAAAGCAAGAGAAAATAGCTGTATTATTGCATCATAAAAAAAACATCTGTCTGGCAGAGAGTCATCTGACAGTCGATGTTATTATTTATGGAATAAATAAAGTATTTTTCATTAATTCAAGAAGAGGGATATTATTTTTCCACCCACCCAGTGTCAACACCTTACATTTGTGAGGTCCAGCCAATCTGAAGACTAAAGCTGCTTGTTGTCAGCATTGGATGCACGAGAGGTAGGGCTGTGCGATATGACCAAAATCTCATATCCCGATATAAGACTTCTATCGTCCCGATAACGATATAAATCACAAAAATGTAACATTTTCTGTAAATTCTGTGAATCTCGGACAGCTCGTCTTGCGGGAAGCGTTTCCAGCTGCGCGTCCTTTGCCCGGAGTCGAGTGTTTTAACCGATGCATGAAACGATACATTTTTAGACATAAGTTGTAAAGGCTGCCGTTTTCTTTGTGAGTATTTATTACACATGAAACATACTTTTTTATATCATCATCCGATATGTATTGTTATATCGAACAGCCCTAAGGAGAGGTGCACTAAAACATATCATATGATAAATAAGGATTATTACAGAGTATATAGAGCCCTAAATGTATCAGAGTGATGCAGTTTTAAAACCTAAATTCAATGCTATGTAAGCTAGGGCAGAGATGGAAAATGTTTTATTGCGGGGTACACAAAGTCCACTTCAATCTTAACAGACTTAATACCTGAGATGTCTTAGTATTAGAAAACGAAGTGTAACAGTACACAGGTTCTCGGTTTTTTCTGCACAACAGAGAAATATTTCTCTAGTAAATGAAAAACATCTGTTGCCACGACTCTTTGGGCATTAATTGTAAGAAAGAAATGTGTACAATTATAAAAAATGTTCTGCTAGCTCATTGCCCAGACAGTCCTGTAATTATAAAACAGAAGAATTTGTTAGTTCACAGAAAATCTACTTTACAATAATATTATTAATTTACATTATTATTATTTAATTTTTAAACTGTTAATTTGGTGTAATACAACTGTCCATGGGGGAGGTCTTTACTCTAAAACTTAAAATACAGTTAAAAGTCCAAAATTGATCCTAATCACATTTTCCAAAGCTCGCACTGGAGTCTTGGCTGGGCCCATTTTTGGCCATGGACCTAATGTTTGACACTCTTGCACTAAAGCAGGGACGTCAAACTCATTTTACATCGCGGGCCACATACAGGCCACTTCACTGGTCCAGCCCACCAGTGAAACTCCCCTTTCTGTCTGTGTAAAGAAGTTAAACTACACATTGAATCGTTCGCATGTCTTAGTATAAGGAAAAGAAGCAATTTTTAATAGTATGACTCAGTTTTTCTACATGATAAGGAAATTCTGCTGTAGTTCATGGAAGAAATCAGTCAGCATGACTCTTTGGCCATGAAATTACAGAAAAAGTTCTAGTTGCTAGTAGCTTACCATGTAATTTTTAAAAAAAAGTTTTTGCTCATTTTAGTGAAAAGACTGAAAATTTTCTGTCATATAATTTGACTATCTATTACTTAATAACTTTGGTGTGGTATGAATGGCCCTGGGGGAAGTCTTTGACAGTAGTTAAAAGTTTTACAGCTATGTGTTCAGTGGACCAGATTGGAGTCTTTGCCCGGCCTATTTTGGCCCACGGGCCTCATGTTTGACATAACATTTAACTTTGTATCCCTTGCAGATAAATGCTAACATCGACATTCGAGAGTTTTAAATCTATAAAAGCTGTTTATGAAACCAGGGTGACGTCACTGCATCTCTCCTTCAGCCAGCTCCTTCATTGCTTCCTTGACAGAGTTGCATCATCATATTTGAGCGTTATAAGCCTCGCGTTAGCCATGAAACAAACCTGGAGAAAAACATGGTGCCATTCTCAAAGTATCCGTCATGATGCACCAGCAGAATGTCTCCATACTTGGACTTTCGGTGACAGAGGAAAGGTCTGTGCAGAACTTCTATCGTCACTTCAGCTTCGGGCAGCTTCCCCCCGCTGCTGACGGACACGAGCATGAAGGAGCAGAGCCAGCTCAGCACAACCAGCAGCATGCTGACACAGTCAGCTTTCAGAAGAAACAGCCTGTTGAACAAAGAGCTAAAAAGTTTCTAACAGACTTGCTGCAGCATGAAAACGTGCAGCTGTTCCTCTACGTGGCAGAGACAAGTCGCTGCAGGAAGTTTTCCTCTGATTGGCTGATCGTTTTTCGGCAGCCCCACCCACAGACAATCCCCCTCACAACTTTCCTTTGGCAACATCTGAATGAATCTTTATTAGTGTACAGTGCTTCATGAAACGTACAGTCATGCAGGCAGATTATCAGCTAATTACAGTTTAATGAATGATTTGATGTATCCCCCACATGCTGCTGCAATAATCAAATATGATCCTTTTTTGGATGACATTCATTTTTTCCCATCTCTTCCATCTGAGTTATTTGGACATTCATTTCTAAAAGGCCTCACTTTGGCTTGGATATTTACAGCATTGGTTAAAGCGGTCTGTCGTGCACTAAAAAAACACATTTACATGCAATATGACAGCATTGCACTTCATCAATATACTGCATTTTTTTTGTAATATATTGCACAGGAATAAACACACTTACACACCCCTGATTTGTATACTACAGTACATATATCTCTATATCTTTTTCATATTAAAAAGTGCTTTATAACACAGCTTATTTCTGCATTAACAGTCAGCAAGTCATACACAACTATTTCGTATGATACAAACATGAAGTCATTAAAATGTTTCCCAACAGTTCCAGTGTCCGTAACAGTGCTGCAGCCGATGAAGTGACACTAGCAAAGAGCTGTTTTCTGAGGTCAATTAGAGATTACACCTCCCGTGACCTTTCGTGGCTCAGAACAGGCACAAGAGCTTCCCTTAACTACTCTTTCTCAGTCTGTCGTTTATTTATTAATTAATTAATTAATTTTTTTTTAAAGTGGTGAGACTTCAGTTGAAATCTGAAGTAAAATCCCTTTGATCACAATGATCATCAAGAGGATTTGCAAAGATCCACTGAGGCTGTTTTCAAACCTCTGAATTCAGGTGAAGTACTTGCAGCCAGTAGAATCAATGAGGCATGAGTCGGTGCATTTGAGATGCCCAAAGGACCTGCAGGAGACACAAAAACTGGTTTGTAATACGTGCAATTGATGCGCTGCATTGTCTTACAGTTATCGTGAGTGGACTATTTTTGGAAGATAAGCATACTGACTTATTTCTCAAAGCAGGCCCACCATTAGATGAGCTCTTATATTCATACAGTAACACTTACTATACTTACAAAAACGCTCTATTTGTTTGTATCTTTGTCTGCAAACTCCTCCTATACCAACAGAGGCTTGTTTTACAAAGCAGGATTTTGGCTTATCCTTAACTTCAGGGTTAACCTTGTGTTTTGTTTAGGTGGTTCACGTCTTACTGGGATAAATCACCATGGTAACCTAATCTGGAATTCTAGATTAGATCAGACGGTATGAAATCACTGCCTATGCTGCGAGGAGAATAAGAGGATCTAAAATTTTTCACTCCAATCTAAAGTGTTTTTGTTTCCCTGATGAGCATCAGTAATAAATATAGATTTTTATGTGCAACTTTATTTATTGATTTTTCTTTTCTGTTGACAGTAAACAATTTTATTTTAAATTTTAAATATACCTAAACCTCATATTAAATGTCTGAAATCTGTTTTTCCATTTAATCTTTACTCTCAAACCCTTAAACAGCACAAACTGTGCCTCACACTGTCACCGGAATTTCTGTGTATTAATGTAGTGATTTAGAACATTTATAAGATATTGTTATACTCAATTCTATTCTGCCCCTAAGTCTCTTTTACTCTGCTGGAATTGCAGCTAGTAGAACTCAGGGCATACATCAAGAATTTCAGAGTATCAGAGCTTTAATCTGCAGCCGTCACCTTACAAGTAAACAGCAGCACAGATCATACACTCAGTGATAAAAAAAACT